TAAATCGTTTACATTTCCTCAATCTGTTGCCACATTTACACACGCTATTAATAATGATGATCAATCTGCAAAATTGATTAAGCACGTGACGAAAATACTATCAATTCTTGCAACATATGCAAGTATAATTCCTGGTGTTGGAATTGAAATAGATTTGTACATTAATTGGTGATCAAAAGAAAAACATATCAGCACTTATTGATCTGAAACTTGAAAACATACTGGCAGAAACTATGACATCAGCAACCAATGCTGACATTGAAGCAATTAAGAAACGTATTAAAAGAATGAAAATCAAGACATTGTGAGTACGGAAAGAGTGGCTCAAGTGGTGGTTCTAGCTTTGTACCCATTTATGCGGTTGTCATTGAGATGATGTTAGCATTAGTCCTGTCTTATAAAACACATTTAAACAAAGACCGTGAATAATTAACAAAGAGAATTATATGTTAAAAAAGAAAATATGTTAATTAAGATTTTAGACATTGAAAAATTATTTTTCCGTACAAAATAATAGTCTGACGTTTGATACGAATTTTTTTTTCCGTAAAACTTTTTTATACAAGAAAACGCTTCTAAGTTTATAGCTAGAATGTCGTAGATTGTATTTGCGTATGGGGTCGATTTTCCGTAAAAAAGTTTTTTTTTTCTTTCATTAGTTTTTGTCAAACGATAGACTATCAAAGGCTACGGAAAAATGCATTCACAGCTTAAATCTGTTCTATGGCATTATATTCACGAAAGATAGTTCATTGTTCGCAAATTTTTCCTTTCAATTTGCTTTTGGCAAATATTAGACTATTGTCTCTTACAAAAGAAAAAGAAAATAAACGAAAATCTGAAATATTAATTTGCTTTTTTTAATTATTTGAATTCAAATTTTTTCGTTAAAAGTGAGTTTACATTATTTAACATTTTAAGTATATTAAAGAATATACTCAAACTTTTTCTTTTGAATGGATAATAAAGTAATGTATCAAATATTATTTAAATTAACTAAAAATTGTTATGTTTTAAAAAATTTCAAACTTTAAATTAAATCGAAATAATAACAGAATTATTTTCATTATTATGCCATTCATTATAATTATAATTGTTACAATAGGAAAAAAATTTTCTTCAAATCAGAAGACCAGTTGCTCTTCAGAAAGAGGACTAAGCACAGATTGAACACTAACATCAATTAAAGATCTATTAGTGTATATCGGTGTTCCTAATATATATCTCGTTTGGCCCGCTGGCCAACCGTTTAAGACGCACATCCTATAGAAATGTCCATTTTCTCCATAGGATAGCATTGAAAAAGTTTTGACAAAAGATTTTATTTTTTCATCGTCATACTGTTGATCGAAAAGATGTGATCTTTGGTGAGTCGAACCTAAATCGATGTCTAGACAACATGTATCAATAACTTCATGACCGGTCGCTGATTTTATAATATTAAAGAATAGGAGATTTTCGACAATCTTTTACAAATACTTCCTGACGGGACGAGATTTGAGATTTGACAAAAAGTACAATACATCGAATGGCTTTAACATTTGATTTTTTAAAATAAAAATTTCGGTAAAATATGATTTCTTTGGCGTGGAAAACCGAAATAATAGAAAATTCAAAGTTGTTTTTAAAAATTAGCCATTAGAGCTAGAAACTTTGTACAGAGGTGGGGGGGGGGGGGGGGCCCTCAAGGGGTTTTAAAAAAAAAAAAAGTTGGCGTTAAAAAGAAAAAACTAATTTTATAGGATTTTATT